TTGTTGCATGTCCGTTTCTATCTGTGCATCAGGAGAAATATCAGATATATGGTGAGACTCCATGTTTGACAACTACTTCCGGATTAGCGGCCAGTGACTCCATTACCCCCTAGATGCGATAGCCAATGAAGTGGTCTCCCAAGGATGTGGAAACTGTGCCAGTGGGGACTTAGAAGAAGATTTCGTTTAGCACGCCACTCGACCAGATGTTAATGTTAGCCACGTATTTGGATCAATCGATGCAAAAGGCTGTAAAATGAGTTTTGATTCACTTTTGGTTATGTTGTACACATGTGTGTTTGTAGTTCATGATACCATTATCTTTTTACTGTCTCCTTTCCTTTCAAAGGAGATTCACTGCTAGACTGTATCCACCATAATGAAAAGAAGAATGTATTGCGTCTTCCCTGTCTTCCTTTGTTGCACTGCTTGGTTTTAAAGTGTTGCTGAATTGTAAGCTCGGAGTCACACGTGCTGGATTTTATATTTGATTGGTTTGTTTCAAACCCAGACCATTATTCATGTTCTGGCCAAAGACCATCAGAATTAAAATTCACGACGTCAGTGAGGTGGCAATAATTGCATGGAATTATGAGTGCATAAGAATCAATGAAGGGATCATTAATATAAATGGAATAAGTGACTAAGCCTGAAATAATATACCAGAGCAAACAAACTTCTTAACCTTGAAAATGTCATCTTCCTTATAGTAAGTCACATTTTCAGGAATACGTTTCCCTGAACAGTCACTATAGATAAGATAAAACAACTTACCTTATTTGCCATAATGCTACTTTTACTATTTACAAATAGCTCTGTTGTAATTAAAAGGAAGCATTATTCTCCTTAATTTTTTTCTAACTGAACTATGCAAGAACTGTACCATAGGTAGAACCTAAGAATACATATTTTCATTTGAGGAAATAGAAGAACAGAAAGCTTTAGCTTTTGATGAAAGCATTATAAACTTCACAGGTGAAAATAAGTGAGAAGGTGCTACTGAAATGTTCTGCAGAAGCTAGTTTGCTTTGTCAGACAAGCTGTGCTCTTAACATGTTTTGCCTAGACCTAATTGGAAGAAACCTTTGGCTTTTGTGATCTAGCGGCAACAACCAGGACCAATTAATTTAGAATACAGTTGGCCTTCAGCTTGAGTTAATGGCAAAGTTCACAGATTTTTGATGCAATTTGACTTGCATTTAAATTAAGCTGCTGTAAGATAGTATCTGCACTTCCACCAAGTAACCTTCAAATAGCTAAGCATTGACCAACTCTATCGTCTTATTATTCTGTCATTGTACTTAGAAAATTGTTGAGCTGTAGTTTAATGAACTAACGCACACAGGCTTTAGAGTGCTTTATTGTAATAAACTCTGGTCAGTTAAGATGATAGGACATAGAAAATATAGACAGAAATCAATAGATGCAAAATAGAACAGAAACCAACATATGTATGCTTTTTTATATTTCAGCTATTTAGTTCATGCATTAATTAATTTAGTATTTAAATAAACTTTAGTCATGAGCCACTGAAAATAGCTTAAACTCTCACTCATTCCCCCATAAGGGAGAACAAACTGTCAGCAAAATGCTTGATTTAATATCATCGACAACAAACAGGGACTGGAATACATTTTATTTGAGCTGATTTGATGTCATTAGCTCCCTGTCAACACTTCAGTCAAGGCATAGGAAGTTGGCTTTACCTGTGGCTGGTCTTTTGCATTTCTGTATCTGGATGACTCTTTGGCACTGAATTTTCAAAGGTGATACCTTGGAACTCAGCACTCATAGAAAATCCTGTTGAAGGGATGCTGCTACTTGATTTGTATTCTTAAATTAGCCAAATAGCCATTTTTTTGGCAATGAATTATGCAGAGATTTGACTGGGCCAGGTTCTAGTGGCTCATAGTATATGGGGTGTATAGATAATGAGATAAGGGTGAGCACCCTTTATCTGTAGGGATGGATAGATAATGGGACCAGTCTCCCTAGTGACTGATCTTTGTTTTGTTTTTGTTCTTGAGTAAGAGAAAATAATTATTACAGAATTTGAGAACGTAGATCCTAAGTCCAATTTAATCTCGGTTTTCTCTGGATTGGATTGACATACTTCAGAACTGGATTCTTTGTTTGATCATTCCACTTCCTTCAACAAAGCAGAAAACTTATTTCTGTATATGCTGCGTTCTGGAGTCTACACATTACACAACACATTTTGCATTGGATGATACCCTCATTTCATGAGAAATATACTATACTCCCAAAGTTAAATTAGATATTTGTGTGATTCTTGAAACAAATGATAAACAAAATCAGTTTTTATAATACAGGCACATGCTGTAGGGAAAAAAATAGCTTCCCCCACTCAAATATTTTAATTTTAAAACACCATTTGTTAACTGCATTTGAAGCTTTGTACTTTGATGCATTTAACAGTAATTGTTGGTACTTGATTGATACGTTAGTACACTTGGCTTATCTGCCTGCTATAATACTTAGCATTGTATGGTCAGCATCTTGGGTTTTACCCTAAGTAGATTAAGCAAAATTTCCATATGAAATACTCTATTTTATATATTCTGATCATATTAGTGAAAACAATGTTAACCCCTAAACAGTTTCAGAAATTGAAAGAGTCATTTTAATAGTCAGAAACAAAGTACACTTCAGAATACAGGAAGAGAATTCAGGAAGAGAACTTTCCTGCACAGATGAGAAAATAAAGTCTATGCTTAATTTAATGTTTGTGCTTGCCATCTGCTCTAGGTCCATATACTCTGTTGTGAATGATTCAGCATGATACATTTTAACAGCACAAAGCAACCTTCAACCTGAATACCTAATATTCCATTTACTCAATACGTTCATTTTGTTACTACTACTGCATAACGTCACTGAGCCTTGCCAATGTTTAGGGTTGCTGCACATCTCTGTAATGCAGAAACACACCGCAGTTGGCCATTTCTGGGGTCAGGGGAAGAGCTGCAGGGAGGAGTAAAAGCACTAGCCAGTTCAGAATGAGCAAATGCCATTGCCTTCGTTCTGAATCATTTTGTAGCCAAATTTCAGTGACTGTGAAGCATCATGACAGTATCATGTTTATTTAGCTGATGAGAGGAAGAAAAGCTAGAAAGAAGGGAGTCACTGCAAACAGGCAGTATATTGGGGGGGGGGGAATGACACTAGAAATTCTCAATTCTCCTAAAATTACTTTTGCCTTGAGTATGCTTGCAGGTATGACATTGGAGCTGCAATGATTAACATGAAGGTTGATGCACATTAGTCTTTGTGTGCATCTTAATGTTCTTTTAATGTTGAGTCTGGGTCTCATCAGTGGGCAAGTAGAGATCTCTCCTGGGGAAGTACTGCATATATAAGCCTGGATGTATAGAGGAGATATATTCTTAGTCATGTTAACAGACGTTTTGCAAGGATTATGCCCAATAACTCCAGCTATTTATAGTACTGTCAGTTGAAATTATGCTGGCAATTAAAAAAAAAGGCTTGCAGATGTTAATTATTACAAAAGTCCTTTCAGAAAAGAGCTCCTGATTTGTTTTCCATTCCTCATCTCTCTTTTGAAAAGAAAATCAACAGTACTATCCTTCTAATGGAGTTATACTCTCTAACAGGATCTCATTTGCCTAATGACAAAAAACTATCTACTCATTATTTCCAAAAAGGATCAGGGATTTAAAACTGATGCTAGCATCGACAAATTCTAATAATGCGGCACTGAGCAAATATTTAATTGGCAGTCAGTTGCCATCTGAAACAAAAACCATGCTTTAGGCTCACTGAAAGCTGAAAACAGAAGAATAAAATACCCTGATCATATTAAAGACTCTTTACAGCAGATTGTTTTGAATCATTGCAAAAAAAAGTGAATTTAAATTCATGGATTCAAGAGTTTGCTGAAATTGTTCATCCACGGTATCATATTTTACCAGCTGATATTGTATTTTATCCTTTCTTTAGCATATAAATTAGTGGCTTATGTATTTGACATATTTTAGGTTGTTATCTCTGTTCAAATCCCATCCAGTTTTAACGATTCCCAAACACTGGTAGCAGTTATATTAACACCTTTTAGATGTGAAAGAATTCTGTGTCAGGTGCATACAGTGCATAGATGGCAAGCGTAGAGTGCAATTGCACACATGTTGAGTGGATAGTTTTACATTGAACTAGAAAGGCAATGACATAAAATGGATTCCTGAAAAATCTGTTTTGCCAGCTATGAGAAGAGGTGGATTGTATTGGTTTTGCAATCCGTTTGGCTGGTGAGGACCAGGTGCACTGAATTATGGGCCAGCATTCCCTGAAGCTCTGGCACATGAATCTTGGAAGTATGATATGTGCTGAATGTTATCCATCTTCTTGAAAACTCCCAAGCAATAATTGGCAACCAGATAAACAACTGCTCCAGAGAGAAAATGCTTTGATTGCTTTGTCCTACTTGTGTTTTATTCCAAAATAGACAAATGCGTTATTTTCTGATATTAACTTTTGAAATCTATGTTGCAGGCTTATAAATACAAGAAGTAAGCAAATTAAAAATATGAGCCTGGATCTAAACCAACTCATGTTTACAATAGTTCCATTTAAACTATGGGGTCTACTCTAAGCCTGACTAAATCTGGATCAAAGTCATTGGCTTGTTTTGCAAGATTTTGCAGATGGGTATGATATTTAGGTCTTCCCAAGATCAAATGGCCTTGTTGTATATTTAATTTAATTTGACCGTGGGATTGTCTTCCGGAAGGCCTTAGAAGCTGTGCCATTTTAAAATGGTATAAATAGCAACACATGCATTTTGTAAATTATGTCCTCTTAAATGTAGAAAATGGATGTCATTCCATGCAAAACAAATAGCTGCCTCACAGGGCAATTGCCATTGTATATATGTGTTTTGTAATCCCAAATTGAACAGACTGAAAAAAAAAATCACACATTCAGCTGATTATAAATCATGAATTCCATCTACTTCCTTACAGTTCCAGATTATCAAGAGCAGGATATCTTTCTCTGGAGGAAGGAAACTGGTTTTGGATTTAGGATTCTTGGTGGAAATGAGCCTGGGGAACCAGTAAGTATCTGTGGAATTAGTTTGTTTTTTTTAATCTTTCATATCTTTATTTCTGAATTTTTTTAGGATCCTCTTCAGCAAAATGTGGCCTTGCTTATCTTACGTATATTGCTAGCATAGCCGTTGACTATCTCATGGATACGGCACTGCTAGCAAAAAAGAAAAACAATATTCTTTCAGCCATGTTCTGAATAGCTAAGGTCCTACTTTGGTCAAGCTTCATATGAAGGAGGAGAGCCTTCTCTGCTGTTGCCCCCACCCTTTGGAATATTCTCCCTGCAGAGGTGCAGTGGGCCCCTACCCTCCTGGCGTTCCAGAAAGGATTAAAGACCTGGCTCTGCCAGTTTGCGTGGGGCAACAAGAATCTCACCCAATCCTGGGGCTGGCTGGCACCCTGATGACGCTCCCCGAGCTACTTGCCAATTAACATCTATTCTTAGATTATATTTATTTTCTAGTTATTTAGGACCATTTTACATTGTATTTTTAATTGATTTTAACTTCTCTGTAACCCGCCCAGAGTTGTTTTTTAATGAGAAGGGCAGTGAATAGATAGATAGATAGATAGATAGATAGATAGATAGATAGATAGATAGATAGATAAGAGAGTGGCCAGTTTCCACCAGCAACTGGCTTAGCCCTGAAGTAGTTTTATAATTGCTACCGAGCTGAACCTTAAACAGATGTTATCAACTCTAGCCTGCTGATGATTTAGATCAAACTAAAGGTAAGGCTTCTTCTAAGCTGCATATATAGTCTCATTTAACAGAAATCTACAAAAACTAAAAGTGACATTAAAAGTAATGGGAAGAGAAAATTTATTTATTTATTTATTTTTATTTATTTTATTAAATTTCTCCCCCGCCCATCTCCCCCCAATGGGAGCACTTTGTGCTAGGCTTGATAAGAAACATGTCAATGTTATTCAGACTATTTTAACATGGCCTCACCTAGATAAATCAGAATTATAGCATCCAAGTCTGTACCAGCTGAAGGTTTCAAAAGCTTCTAAATTGACCATTTCAGGCTTCTGGAATATAATTCAAAAGTATTCTTTAAAAAAATAATTTATTTGTAAGAACCTAGTTTTCCATCATAATGCCTAAACAGTAAGAAACAAATAATGGACATATTTAAAACATAGACAATATTTCAAATTTATTGCATCTCCTGCTTAGAAGAATGACAACCAACCTTTTTCAGACATTCATTAAGTAGTCCAATATATCCCCAAAAGTTGTTGTTATTGATGATGTTATTGTTGAACTAATGGAGTTTTTAAATCATGTGAACTATACTTCACATTTCTTAACACCTAGACCACTGATTTTGCTTTCTTATATATTAGACAATGTTTATATTTTAAAAGTATAATTTTTTATCATGTTGAATTCTTGTTTTAGCCTCTATAGACACTTTCTCCACTTAGGACTTCTGGAGTTTCAGAAACTGTTAAGCAACAGGGCCATTCTCCCCTTTAGAAAAAAAAAAATGTTATTGGCACCAGTGGACTGTGAGACAAATGGAAGGCATTTTGGGTATACGTAATAGTTACTAGAGTTGAACACATGCTGTTATTATATGGCAATGATATATTATTTATAAATATGTATTTTATATATCAACGCTTATTGAGATTGTGTCCCAATTTGATAATTTATCAGATTATTCAATTAGTTGGTCTAAGTCCCATATATGTCTTATAGGCTTTCACATTTTTATGAAAACTAGTAAAAAATTGAGGTTTCAGTTGTTACTTGAATTTTATTAAATATCTGGGAGGAGTTATTCCAAAGAAACTTTCTTCATTTGTGAAAATAAATGTTTATTTCTATTTACATATGAGTGTTAAAAATCTCATTGAGTTTGTGGCGAAACTGGGTATCTGTGTTGAGTTCAATACCCTGATCAAGGAAAATTCTGTAATATAAAATGCTAACCTAAATTTTTTATTTATTTTTTGAATGAAAGTGTGCCAGAAACTATTAATCAGTCCTGTTAATTGTTTGAAATAGGAAAGTAGTATTTTATACTGTGGAACTAACTGGTTACTAGGATCCTTTTTGCTGTCCTTTTTGTGAAAGTGTTTCACAAGTATCTGACCTAGGTTGTTGTTGTACAGTCGTTAAATCGTGTCCGACTCTCCGTGACCCCATGAACCATATTGCGCCAGGCCTTCCTGTCCTTCACTGCCTCCTGGAGGTTGCTCAGTTTCATGCCCATTGCTTTGGTGATGCTATCTAACCATCTCATCCTCTGCCGTCCTCTTCTCCTTTTGCCTTCAATCTTTCCCAGCATCAGGGTCTTCTCCAAAGAGTCCTCTCTTCGCATTAGGTGACCAAAGTATCTCAGCTTGAGTATTCTGAATGTGAATCCACTAGGATAACAGCTCTGATTTGGATTAGGAAGTCCAGTCTCTTCAAAGGTGTTTGGGATATAGGTAATCCTGATTTATTTCTTGGGCAAGTGACAACTGTCCTCATATACATCCACTTCCTTTTCACAGATTTACATTGGTCATATTGTGCCATTGGGTGCTGCAGACGCTGATGGCCGCCTGAGATCTGGAGATGAATTAATCTGCGTGGATGGTACACCAGTGGTTGGGAAATCACACCAACTTGTAGTCCAGCTTATGCAGCAAGCTGCAAAGCAAGGCCACGTCAATTTAACCATCAGGCGCAAAGTGGTGTATACAGGTAGGATTCAGTGTGACTGTGTGGGTGTTTTATTTCTGTTCTATACTTGGAAGAAAAGGAAATATACTATACTTGGAAGAAAATTTACTGTAGCACCTGAATGGAACCCAGCAAAGTTACCAAAGTGATCAGGGTTTATACTGAATAGTATACTATAAAAGTTGACTTGTTAGATCTGACCAAGATTCATTTAACTCAGCTATCAGCAGATGCTTCTAAAATTTCACTGGTATGAAAGTGACAGCCATCCCCCTGCTATTTATTTTCAATTTCTAGTATAAAAGATTTTGTATATGTGTCCCAGAGGCTTAAGTGCATCTAAGGAAGGTTTGATGGTTCAGTATGGTAGAAGACAAACTACACAAGCGTGTGACCTCCAGATGTTCAAGAATACCAGCTCTCAGTATGGCCACTGAAGCTGTAGTTGCAGTTTCAGTACATTGGGAGTGTACCAGATGGGGAACACTGACAGAGCGTAAACCTGTGACAGCTGGTTTACATTGAATAATGTAAATTATTTTATGTCCACCTACACCAGATATAATCAGTGGGCAGCTTAGACTTGAAATTCCAGTGGGTGCATATTTATATGGGTAGATAATCATTCTCAAAAGATATCTCCTTATTTCTGTTTGATTCATAGAAAGGTATTTTCTAATATTCCAAGCTAATGTTGCTATGTTTCTTATGCTTAAAATTAGTGGTGGAGGAACAGTTGTAAGAACCAGTATGACAGAATGGAATACCCGTTGTAATTTGTCATTCAACCTTCTGTTTGAATCATCTTTCTTTCAAAAGAAAGTTTTAACCAAAGGGGGCCAGGCTCTATTACAAATAAATAAATATTATCCATCTGAAACAAATTTGCATTCTGAATGACTTTAATGTATTTCATATCAGTTTCTGCGAAGGATGCCTCTATGGAAGAAATGTTTTGCATTAGTACAAGGGCTGGAGAATGCATTTCCTTAACTGAAACCTGCATTAAGAGTATCTTCTTAGCAGTTATTACTTAGAATTATTCCACAAAATGTAAAAAACAAATAGAACACACATAATAAAATATACTAACAAAAGAGAAAGAATTAATTATTGTACACATTCCAAATAGTCATATAACGTATTGTAAAACTACATTATATTCCATGACTGAAAAAGTAGCTTGACAGAATAAATCTTAATCTTTGAGCACCAGTGAGCAAAAATAATCATGGTTATTCTTCTCTAGCATTAGTGTCCCCCAAAATGGGTGCCACTATTGAAATGAGATAGGTAAAAAGGAAACCTCAGATGAACTTGGGAATAGAGAAAAATGTGTAAAAAAAGATTCTTGCTGCAGGTTGTCCCCATAGCAGTTTTCTCCCACTTCAGCCCCTCAAGATATTTTGGCTTACGTCTTCCCTAATTGTTGGCCATAATAATCAGCAGAAACCTAGTGTGTCAACTTCAGATTTTTCTGTAATACTCCTAAAAACCTGGTGTTGGCAGAAAACTGTTAATTAAGGATTGCATCTTTCTCAAACAGTCCCCAAAGCAGAGAATGAGGTTCCCTCTCCAGCCTCATCTCATCACAGCAGCAACCAGCCGGCTTCTTTGACAGAGGAGAAACGCACCCCCCAGGGAAGCCAAAACTCACTCAACACAGTCAGTTCAGGCAGCGGCAGCACCAGTGGAATTGGTAGTGGTGGAGGTGGCGGCAGTGGCGTGGTCAGCACTGTGGTCCAGCCGTATGATGTCGAAATACGGCGTGGAGAAAATGAAGGTTTTGGATTTGTCATTGTGTCTTCAGTTAGTCGCCCAGAAGCTGGAACAACTTTTGGTAAGTCCAGAATATGCTTTCTAAAATTTAGATCTCTCTGTAAGATTTCTCTGAGCCCTATCAATATTTCAGCTTCAAAAGGACATGGGGACTCTTTGGTTATGCTGTTGGCTGGGAGGGATTTTCCTTAATGTATCTGTAGTGTTGCACTTAAGAAGTAAGCCTTCACTGATGACCAAAACAAGAGCTAGGGAGAAGATAGCAACCCTGGGTTAATAGCAGAACCTTAATTGTTATGCCAGCGTACAGTGACAATAGTAATTACAAATACAAAACAGTGATTAAAATTCACAAATGTGCCCCATTCTATTTCATTAATATGCCTAATTGGAAAGTCAGGCTTTGGGAGATGTTTGCCTCCCAGGTCTTGTTCAAAGCTGAATTACAATTTTATTTTGTGCTGAATTGTTTTCTCTCTAAAAGAGACATTTTGAAGTTGGAATTCTAGAAATAATGGCAGCAGGGGGAAAAAGGCAACAGGGGTTGTAATCCTAGGCTTAAAGCAAGTGCCCTCTGTAGCATATGGCTTTTCTTGAGATAAACGGATTAGGAATTCTTAAGAAGATGCTGTAAAGAAAGCATATGTGCACGCACTGTATGCTAGCAATGTGGATTGTGTAGTTGGTGTACCATTCCTTTTGATGCACTTTTTTACACATGGCACCATTCATGAAGAAAATCTTTGCCCGGGACTGCTTTCTTATTTACATCAGCTCCAAGCCTTGACCTTCCAGGTGATAGCTGTAGATGGAACACATGTGCCCTGTCCTTTCAGTTCTCCCACCACTGCATTTAATACATTTTAAATTAACTGAAGCCTAAATCAATGGTGATTTGCTATTCCATTTATATTTCTCTTGGCACAGGGATGGAACTGAGAGGCTTAGATAGTATAAGACATTCCTGCAGCATAAAAAAAAAAAAGTATAATGGAAGCTTCTTATCTCTAGAGCTTTTTAATCTGGACTTAACCCTGCACCTAGTTGGAATTGCTGATATCCAAATCAATCTAAATGGGTTAACGATGAGTTTTCACCCCTTGGCTCTGGTTTGAACTGAGACCTGTTTATATATTTATTGCTTAAGCAGCAACAAAAGATTCATCTTCCAGTCTTCATCTGTCAGTCCCATTCATGTGTGCTGCTGCCAGTTGTTAGGAGAGGAGTTTTCAAACTGCTTTTGCTAAGTTCTCTTGAGCAATTCATAGGGTTCTTGTTTGCATTTATTCTAAAAAATGCACTTGGAATCACATGGGATAGTTATTCAATCTTAAAAAGGCCCAAGTAGACACTGTGAATGCCTATTAAGAAATCATAATGAGAGATAAAATAATGAGACAAATACAGTCCAAAACCTCTCAAATCCTACCCAATTACTAGAAACTCATAAGGCAGCCATAACGTGGGAAAAAATGTATATTCCAAGTTCAATGTTTTACTGCAAGACTTAATGAAGGGGTAGAGTGGTCTGTTAAATAATAGTAATTAAATGTTTACTTTTCCAGTCTGGTTTGAACTTCAGTGATTAATGTTCATTTTTGAAAGTTGCTTGAAAGCTAGACATACAAGACCATGTGACAGCAAATGTATGTCTTGACTTCAAGTTACCCCTCTCCTCTCCTCTGCTCCCATATTCTGCATGAAATCCTTGTCCTTGGCTACACAATGCTTGCCTTGTATCTGTAGAAGGCTTTATATTTTTATATAGGTGGTCAACAAAAATGTATTGAACTAATTCAAAACTGGTTTATTCATTCACTAAATGGATCTTTTTTAGAAATTAACCAAGAAATGTTCTTCTTGTGTGACTTAGCCAATGGTTATATGTAGGAGTGAATCATGATTACTGTTATCTATTATGAAATAACCCATTCTATGAGTCTTAATGGACTTCTGAGAGCATATGGCTGATCATTTAACTCATCCTTCATTGTTATCTTTTTTCATGTTATCACAACATCAACCTATTCCTAAAATTACTAATACAAATACAGTACAAGCATATATTTGGATGGCTTGATATAATCTCCATTCACATGCAAATGATGCAGCCATGATCATTATGGCCTCATGCAAAGTCATGGCCTCAGGAAATTGTAGCTGCCTCAGAACACTGTTATTTGTAAAGTTCTAAGGAAATACACAGAGATGTGGACAGGAGATGTTGACAAAGCTAAGTTAGGTAAAGGTACAATAATGTCTGAGGTTAGTTCATATTGCAATTCTGGAGTTAAATTTTTGTAGAAACAAAATAGGCAAATTGCAAATTGAGACAGAAATGTGAAGCCAAATCAGAACGCCAGGAAAATAAAATGTCCAAATAAGAGTTGAACTAAGCAGCAGCAGTAATGATTTAGAATGATTGAAAAAGAAGAAATCATTGTAATCAGTCATTTGGACTGAAGCAAAGCAATTAAAAATCCCTTATATGATAAATAAGAAATTATTGACTGTTTCTCTATATTCTATAAGCAGAAAAAGGATTAAGATACAGATATATGAATACAATTAAAGTAATTTCTGTTACTCAGTGATCATATTAAAAAAAAATAGGTACAGCTTAAACTGAAGAATAGGCTGGTCTAGCTAATCTAACCACTACAGCACATTAGATTATGTAATCCATTAAACTGGTGCATAAAGTAATTCCTTTTTACTGAAGAGAGAAGGTTTTCATTTTTTTTTTTCTTATCTGCACTCAGTCATTACTGACTCTGCAGTGACTGCCTGGACGAGTCCTTGCAGTTTTCAAGGCAAGG